AATGATGCAGAATTAGACAGCAGTGTATCAAAGTGTACTACAAAACTTTTAGGGCATGACAACAGGCTCTACATGGCCAGACAGTGCAGCGCACTGCAAATTTACACCCCGGCTTGCCTGGTAGTAGGTCCCCATACAAATGCACCCATGGTACTAAAGAATCTGAGCTGCACAGAAGAGGAAAAGTTGTTAGTACTAATACAAGGCACCAACATGGCAATAGGGGAAGAAGGTATAGCAAAGATAAGCATTTAATACTTGCTGCACCCAAACTGCACTAAGAACAAGTATATCTGTTTTAACAGAATTATAACAGATATATTTGCTAAGTGTTGATATTTTGAAAGGAATGCCAGAAGCTTTAAATCATGTACAAATTTTTGGCGTTTTGCATTTTCCTTTTAAAAATATTTTGCTTCCTTTTTTGGTGTGCAAGAACCACACAAAAACAGAAGATAACTGACTGCACAGAAAGTGTTGATAAATGCAGTTAATCTAAGGAAGATCTTTTTTCTCTATCACACAGTCCTTTATGTAATCATAATAAGTGAAGATTTCAGACAACAGAACTATTACGAAGCTAGTGTCCTTAAAATTTTCCTGTAATGCTAAACTTCAACTGGAACTTTATTATTTTCTATAAAGCGCAAGGCTTCTCTTTAGAAATGTCGGCAACCTTTCAGAAGTGGCGTGCCTAGATTTCACTTATTCACTTCTATTTACAGATCTGTGCGCAGGGGTGGGAGTGGGGCTGGGAGGGGGAGGAGGAAGCAGGGGCAGGATAGGTACAGTGGCCATATTTTCTGAACCAGTTATAGCCAGGGAGAATGGTTTAATTTAAATTATTAAACAGATCAAGCATTTTTAATTCTCTCATGTTATTTTATTAAACTTCATTTTAAATAAAATCAAATATTAATTTATGTCCAACACAAAAGATTTCAATGTTTTATTTATGGCAGAGGTTGGGGGCCACTGACCCACAGAAAAATGATTTGGGGACCACACAAGTGAGAAGCAAAGACTCCTCCAAAAAAACCCAACCCTCACTGATATAGTTCCCAACTGAGACACCTCATTCTTCCGGTGCTCCACCCTCATGGGGTGAGGAAAAGAGACAGGGAGGTCTGAGATTCAGGGCTTCCCACAGGTCAGATTTACTTTTGTGGGGTTCTGGAGTTAGTGGATCTTGTGGACCCACTTAGCCTCTGGGGTGGGGACAAAAACTGAGGGGTTCGATGTGCAGGAGAGGGCTGCCAGCAAGTGGGAGGCGGATGCAGGATCTGGGCAGGAAGTGGAGTACTGGAGGGGGCAAGGAGGGCAGGGTCCGGAAGGGGGTTTGGTGGCAGGGGAGAGTGTGAGGTGGGGGTACAAGAGGGAGTTTGGGAGTAGGAAGAGGCTGGGGGAATAATGCAGAAAAGGTAAAAAGGTGAGAATGCAGCCAAATGGCTAGTTGGGGAAGGAGGCAAAGAAGTGGGGAGCAAAGGAAAGTGCAGCTTCTGGAAAGTAAAATTGCATTCTCCCTCCCTCATATCTTCCCTCTGCTCCAGCCTCGCTCACCTCAGCCCCAATACCTGCCCCCTGCAGCCAGATCCCCTGCTTCACTCCATCGCCCTTAGTGCAACCCTTGCCTCCTATCATCCTGCCCCTGCATCCTCCTTCACATCCCTGCGGCACCAGTGTGCACACCAGCAGAGCAGCAGCGCTAGGACTTGCAGCCTCCCCCGCCCCCGAACAGCGCTGGGGCAAGGGGAGAAGTGGAGGGGAACAGAATCACTTCCCTACCCAGCTCAGCCCCTGGCTGGGACTTGCCCCTCACCTGCTGGTTGTGGCTTTGGGGGGCAGAGCCCGGGGCTGGCTCCAGCCCAGCCAGGTGAAGTGGGGTGCTGGATAAGGAACTCTCTGCCCCCGCACATACCCCATGGGGAGTAGCATCGCACAGCCCATGCCCTGGTGCCCCACCACCCTGGATCTGCAGAACAGCTCCAGCCCCACCCCCTTCCTGAGAAGGAAGCAGAGCCTGTAGTGTGTGTGTGTGTGTGTGGGGAGAGCTGTTAACCCCTTAGCTCCTGGGAACCACACGCCCAGGCTGGGCAGGGGCAGCCCCAGGGATGTGGAGCTCAGTGCCCACACCTCCCTGCTTGCCCTTAGAGCAGGAAGCTGGAGCTGGTTTTCCAGCCTGCAGCTGTGCAGCAACCGCAAGGCTCCAGCCACTCTGCGGGAAAGGGGCGGTCTAAGCTCCTGCTGTGTGCACCACTCAAAATCAGCTCACATACGTTGCCCACCCCTGCTTTAGAATATTGCCTTTTAATCCCTATGGTGGAACCACAACTCAGGTCTACCTTTGGTCTTGTTTAATAGATTTAGGCTATTTTTCCTAATACAATAGTAAGTTAATGAAGTACATCACAAATTTTATTTTCTCTTCACATCCAACAAAGGAGGAATACATAACTATACCCAAGATTCAGGAAGATACTTAAATACCAACATTAAATATGAAAATAATCCCCTTCACCTTGCTGACTATCTGGACGTAAGATGAAGATCAACCTTAAGTATTTTTAAATTTCCTTTAACTGCATTACACTTTCTAGCAGCTAGCTGAAGATCCTAAAGAACTTCACAAACCATTAATGAATTTTGCCTCTATACCTCTATGGAGGTAAGAACAGATTGTCCAGGATAAAGCAGGTTTAAAAAAAAAAACAAAACAAAACAACCCCCCCCCCAAAAAAACAAACATGAAAACACATACACCTTCTGACTCCAAGTCACATACATTATGAAGGTGATTCTCTCCTCCTACTCTATTATACTATTTCATACAATAAACACCTACATGGCAAAACAAAAACCCTGAACCATCAAGTCTCAGTTCAAGGCGGCAGGCAACACATGTACAAAGAAGAAGGGAACAAGCTAGGCTGCAATCATAATAAAGATTTCAACATGTTTGTTTTTGGAGCTTAACTCCTCTTTCATCCCAACTTCTCCCACATCAGCTTGTGAGCAGAAAAGCCCCAAAGAAGTAATTTAAAATGAGGATTTTTTCTAAAAAATACTGTGCATACTATTAAAATGCTGCTCTATCAGAAAGATCATTTTACATAGCTAGTCAATTTTAAAAAAAGTTGAAGTTGGTAATAATATCCATATTTATTAACTACTGAAGTGTAGATCAATATACTGAACCAGCAGTCTTTAATTTATATAAAAAATTGTTAGCTGACAACAACTAGCTTTTAGCCAAAGTTACAATTATTGAGAAACAAGTATCAAAAGAAGAAAAGGGGAGAACTGTGGCAGAGATCCAGCTTTGCTTCTAGGCAGTTAGCACTTGCCTCAGAGGCTCGCTGTGACCCTCAACATACACTCTTAGTCTACTGAGCCACCTTCATCACAAGACAGTTAATGGGTTTGTAGTGAAAACCCTCCTTAGTCCCAACCTCACCTCTCCGGGGTAGGTTCTGTGGTAAAGTGGGCGGGAGGGTAGTGGGGAACCCATGTCCACCTACTACTTCGGGTTTTGGCCAAGGAACTCTAATGGCACTGGCAACAGGTAGTGTTTATTCCACCACCAAAACTGCAGCCCTTCCCTGAGCAACCTACCTAAACAATCCCTCTCAGCACCTTCCTCCTGGTACCCGACCGCATCCTTACTGCTTTTCCATGGTACACTTCCTCACTCCCAGTCCTTGAGGCTTCCCTGAAGGGAAGCCTAAAGGGAAGGACTTTGATTGGCTGCAGGTCTTCTGATTAGCCTGTCTCTCTCTTGCTTCTGGCAAGCTCTTAATTAGCTCCAGGAATCTCCTGATTGCTCTGTAGCAGATCCTGCCCTAGTCACCCAGGGTGAATCTAGACTACAGGGATTTAAAAAAAAAAAAAAAAGTGGCCTTTTTTTGAAAAAGTTTTCCCTGCATCTACACTGCTGCTGCGTTCTTTCTAAAGTAAATCGAAAAAACGTGGCAGTTTTTTTGATTGCAGTAAACCTTATTTTATGAGGAATAATGCCTTTTTTTCAAAAGTATTCTTTTGAAAAAATGCGCTATTGAATACAAACTGTGCTTTTTTGAAAGTGTCTAGACTCTCTTTTGAAAAAGCTACTCGCTTTTTCGAAAAGTCTGCTTGTAGTCTAGATGCTATCTTTCGAAAAAGCCTCTTTCAAAGGAGGCTTGTAGTCTGGACGTAGACCTAAGGAACAGAAAATTATTCATCCAGTGATATTATTCATCTATCAAACTACTATAGCCAACTGGTCTGGGTCTGTCACAGAACTTGTGGTTTCATTTGTCACTCAAATCCAGAATATATACTATATAGATTTTTGCAAGGCGTTTACAATTAAATTAATTACAGGGAAACAGGATGTCCATTCACAATAGAAAGTCTTGTAACATCAGTGGTATGTCATGTTTCAGGCAAGCAGGTGACATTACATTTGTTACATTTGAAGAAAGGATGCATGTTAGTGATTACTAGTTAAGATTACTAGTCAACCACAATAAATTACAGTATTAAAGCCAGTACATATCCTTTTCAATAACAGTGGCAGCTGGATGGCATGTTCTAAATAGTGTTTGTGATACAGTGTATAGAATTATTTCTTTAGCTACTTTCACAGTTATTTTGATTTAATTTTTTTCACAGCGTTAATATAATAAAGAATACAATTCTATTAAAGTCTGAGTTCAAGAAACTTAAATCTTGAGTCCAAAAACACAACAATGTGAAATCTGACCAGTAATGTTGAGAAAGCAGCATTGTCATGCAGTAAATTGAACTTAATTTTTAACAAATGTCTATTAAATTAAATTAAAATAAAGTTTAGTTGTAATTTTTTTTAACATATTGCTAAACAGAAAGGATTTAATTTGAGAGAGTACACACACATTATTCTTTATCACAGCACTGTTAGAGACTAGGAAACACATTCAGCAAATAACTTGCCTCTAAGTACAAACTGACCCTACATATAGAAAAAAAATAAGATTCCTTACCTGACAGAATTATGTTGCCTGTTTTCTATTTTCATTAAAATTTGTATATCTGATGGAGGAGACATTGTATATATTTTTAATCTGGAAAAAAAAAAAAGACAACCAACAACCACCTGTAACTGATGAAATCTTGACAATCACATTAAAGAAAAAGTCTAAGCCACTTGTTATCAATACAAGATTTACAAACTTTTAAAAGGCCTACAATAAAAACCGCCTTCTTGTCGATGAAAATAATTTTAAGACAAGTGATGAATCAGAGCTTAGACAGTAAAAGTGTTTCACTTCTTCCTTCAGATAAGGCGTTAGCAGTATATAATTTAAACTAGTCCTAGGCTGGCATTCTTTGGATTTTTAATCATTTAATTTGTATCAGCCAATTTCTTAGAGAGCAATTCGCTTAAATTCAATTACTTAAGAATCATACAAATGTAGAGCTGGAATAGAACTTGAAAAGTCATCAAGTCCAGCCCCCCCCCGTTCTGTGGCAAAGCCAAGTAACCCTAGACTAGTGGTTTCCAACACACTAGCCACTAGCTATATGGCTGCTTGAGTGTGACAGTTGGCTTGAACACTGTGGTTATTTGGCCAGTTGAGTGTCGTTAGTTTGCTATAGTGGCTACTGCTTCAGAACTGGTTGGATACCATGACCCTCAACCATCCCCCAACAGATGTTTGTCAAACTCATTTCTAAAAGCTTCCAATGATGGGGACTCCACGGCCTCCTTGAGAGCCTATTCCACAGCCTGACTACCCTTTGTAGTCAGAAAGTGTTTTCTAATATTTAACAAATCTCCCTTGACGAAGATTAAGCCCATCACTTCTTGTCCTATCTACAGGGGATATGGAAGTTCACTGTTCTCTTTACAACAGCCCTTAACATACTGAAAAACGTTTCAAGTCTCCCCTCGGTCTTCCTTTCTCAAAGCTAAACGTGCCCTCTTTTTAACCTTTTCTTAAACCTTTTATCACTTTTCTTGCTCTCCTCTGGACTCTTTCTAATTTGGCAACATCGTTCCTAAACTGTGGCGTCCAAAACTGGACACAGTACTCCAGTTGGGGCCTTATCAGTGCCAAATAGGGAAAAACAATTACCTCCTGTGTCTTCCATACTATACTCCTGTTAGTACACCCCAGAATCATATTAGTATTTTTCACAGTTGCAGTGCATTGACAACTCCAAGTTTGCTGCCATCTGCAAATTTTATAGGCATGCTCTCTACTCCATTACTAAAGTAATTAATGAAAATATTGACTAATACCAGACTTAGGACTGTCCCTTCCAGAACCAAAGCCATTATTCTGCATCCACATTAGAGTAATTTCACCTAGACCATGTCTTTAGTTTGAGAGGAGAATATTAGGTGGAACTATACCAACAGCCTTGCTAGAAATCAAGGTATGGGGTCTCTATTGACCTAGTGGATTGGGGGAAACAGTAATAGTATCAAGAAAGAAAATTAGGTTGGATTGTCATTGTTTTCAACAAATCCATGCTAATTATTCCTGATAGCTCTAATATCCTCCAGGTCCTTACCAACAGATTTAACAACTTGAACTACTATTTTTCCAGGTACCGAAGATAGGCTGACAGGTATATAATTCCTAGAGTGCTGCGCTTCCCTTCTCCATTTTGGAGGTGCTCTCATGTCTTCTAGGAGTTACCAAAGATAATTGCTAATAGGCAAGGCTCAACAAATAATGTAATCTACATGCCCGTGGCGAGTAGATTAGTACCCGGAAGAGCCGGTGCAGAGCAATCTGCAGATGGGCAGAGCGCAGAACCGCGCGGCTGGCAAGCGGGGCTTGCCGCTGCTTGGTGAGCCCTGCTAATAGGTTTTGCTTCAACTAGATCCTTAAGTACCCTATAGTGAACTTCATCAGGCCCTCCTTACTTTAATGCATCTTATTAATCCAAATCTTCTTTAATATGGCCCGTCCCTATTCTGACTTAAGTTTCTTTGCCACAGTGGTTAATATTAATTGTGTTGTGAGTGCACACTTAGCTAGTAATCCAATTCTGCACAGTGAAAGTGGAAAACTGACAGTTTGACAGAATTTATGTGAATAGTTTATTTTAAAATCAATTAAACAAAATTACTAATTTTTTAAATACGTACTTTTGACGAACAACAGGATCTGATTCTTCAGGATCAATGTAAGGTTTAAGGATTTCACCTAGTATTTTATCATCGGACACCCTTAAGCCAAAAAATATATAAATGCAGTTTATTAAGTATGAATCAAAAATAAATATTAAACCAATTTTAAGGAAATGGTATTTCCATATTTAAAGTGATAAAACACTAGAAGCAAGCCAAGTAATATCTGAAAAGGGTGCCATGTGCATCAATGTAGCACAAGCAGGCAATGGATATTATAGCAACCCCAAGCACACAGGACATGTCTACCCTGCAATTAAAAACCTGTGGCCAATTGGGTCTTGCAGGGATCTGGCTAATGAACTGTTTCATTGTGGTGTAGATATCTGGGCTCTAGGACTCTGAGTGGGGAGAACCCCAGAGCTTCAGGCTCCAACCTGAGCATCTACACTACAATTCAACAGCCCTGTGATGACCCTCAGTTAACTGCCCCAGGCAGGTTGCCTAACTGCAGCACAGACATGAAATGAAAAAGAGTCTAACACATTAGGAAATGGCAGACAGATAAATAGTGACAACTTATTGAAGTGCTTATACACAAATGCTAGAAGTCTAAATAATAAAATGGTGAACTACAATGCCTCATTTTAAAGGAGGATATTGATATAATAGGCATCATGGAAACTTGGTGGAATGAAGGCAATCAATGGGACAGTCATACCAGGGTACAAAATATATTGGGAGGACAGAACAGGTTGTGGGGGAGCAGCACTATACAGTACTTGAAAGAAAATGTAGAATCAAATGAAGTAAAAAATCTTAAAATGAGCCAAAATGTTCCACAGAATTTCTATGGATAGTAATTCCATGCTCCATTAATAAAAATATAGCAGTAGGGATATGTTATCCACCACCTAATCAGGACAGTGATAGTGACTATGAAATGCTAAGGGAGATTAGAAAGGCTATCCAAGTAAACAACTCAATAATAGCAGGGGAATTCAACTATCCCCATACTGACTAGGTACATGTCGCCTCAGGACAGGATGCAGAGATAAAATTTCTTGACACCTTAAATGACTGCTTCTTGGAGCATCTGGTTCTGAAACCCACAGGGGAGAGGCTATTCTTGATTTAGTCCTAAGTGGAGCACAGGCTCTGGTTCAAGAGGTAAATATAACTGAACTGCTTAGAAATAAGTGACCATAATGTAATAAAATTTAACATCTCTGTGGAGGGAAGAAACACCACAGCAGCTCAACGCTGTGGCATTTAATTTCAGAAAGGGGAACTACACAAAAATGAGTTAAACAGAAATTAAAAGGTACAGTGACAAAAATAAAATCTCAGCAAGCTGCATAGAATTTTTTCAAAGACACTATAATAGATGCCCAACTTAAATGTATACCCCAAATTAAAAAACACGGTAAGAGAACCAAAAAGTGCCACTGTGGCTTAAAAACCAAGTAAAAGAAGCAGTGACAGATAAAAAGATATCTTTTAAAAAGTGGAAGTCAGATCCTAGTGAGGAAAATAGAAAGGAGCATAAACTTTACAAAATTAAGTGTAAAAATATAAGAAGAAAAGCAAAAAAGGAGTTTGAAGAACAGACAGCCAAAAACTCAAAAAAGAAATAGCAAAATGTGTTTAAGTATCTCAGAAGCAGGAAGCCAGCTAACAACCAATGGGGCCCTTAGATATTCGAGATGCTGAAGGAGCACTTAAAGATGATCAAGTCATTTTGGAGAAGCTAAATGAAATTTTGTTTCAGTCTTCAGGGCTTAGGTTGTTTGGAAATTTCCCCAATCTGAGCCATCCTTTTTCAGTGACAAATCTGAGGAATTGTCCTGGATCAAGATGTCATTAGAGGAGGTTTTGGAACAAATTGATAAACTTAACAGTAACAAGTCACCAGGACCAGATGGCATTCACTCAAGTGTTCTGAAAGAACTCAAATGTGAAATTGCTGAACTATTAACTGTGGTCTGTAAATGCTTAACCACCAATAGCCTGGTAGCACTTTAAAGACTAACAGAATATGTAGATGGTATCATGAGCTTTCGTGGGCAGAGCCCACTTATTCAGATGACCGCTCATGATACCATCTACATGTTTTGTTAGTCTTTAACGTACTAGCAGAGTATTTGTTGTTTAAGTTTTTCCTGTTACAGACTAACTTGGTTACTCCTCCTAAACTTGTGTTTTGTAACCCATCTTTAAATTAGCATCCGTACAAAATGACTGGAAGATAGCTAACCTGACGCCAATACTTAAAAAGGGCTCTGAGGTGATTCTGACAATTACAGACTAATATCAGTACCAGGCAATTTAGTTGAAACTACAGTAAAGAATAATATTGTTAGACACATAGTTGAACATAATTTGTTGGGGGAAGTGAACATGGTTTCTAAAGAGGGAACTCATGTCTTACTAATTTTCTAGAGGGGGTCAACAAACATGTGTACAAGGGGAATCCAGATGATATCGTATACTTAGATTTCCAGAAAGCCTTTGACAAGGTCCCTAACCAAATGCTCTTAAGTAAAGTAAGTTATCATGGGATAAGATGGAAAGTCCTTTCATTGATTGACAACTAGTTAAGACAGGAAACAAAGGGTAGGAATAAACGGTAAATTTTCAGAATGGAGAGAACTAACTAGTGGGCCCCCCCTAAGGGTCTGTCCTGGGACCCATTCCATTCAACTTAGTTATAAATGATCTAGAGAAAGGGGTAAACAGTGAGTTGGCAAAATTTACAGATGATACCAAACTGCTCAAGATAGTTCAGACCAAAGCAGACTGTGAAGAGCTTCAAAAAGACCTCACAAAACTAAGTGATTGTTGGGCAACAAAATGGCAAATGAAATTTAATGTTGATAAAAGTAAAGTAATGCACATTGGAAAAAATAATCCCAACTATACATACAATATGATGGGGAATAATTTAGCCACAACTACTCAAGAGAGATATTGGAGTTACTGTGGATAGTTCTCTGAAAACATCCACGCAGTGTGCAGTGGCAGTCCAAATAACAAATAGAACGTTAGGAATCATTTAAAAAGGATAGAGGATATCGTATTGCCTCTATGTAAACCATAGTATGCCCACATCTTGAATAATGCATACAGATGTGGTTGCATCATCTCAAAAGATATATTGGCATTGGAAAAGGTTCAAAAAAGGACAACTAAAATGATTAGGGGTTTGGACAGGTACCACTTAGAAAAGAGGAGACTAAGGGGGATATGTCAGAGGTCTTGAAAATTATGACACGTGTGGAAAAATTGAATAAGGAAAAGTATTTACTTATTCCCACAATATAAAAACTAGGGGTCAAATGAAATTAATAGGCAGCAAGTTTAAAACAAACAAAAGGAAGTTTTTTTTTCACTCAGAGCACAGTCAACCTCTGGAACGCCTTGCCAGAGGATGTGGCAAAGGTTAGGACTTTAAAGGGTTCAAAAAAGAGCTAGATAGATTCATGGAAGTTAGGTCCGTCAATGGCTACTAACTAGGATGGATAGGAACGGTGTCCCTAGCGTCTGTTTGCCTGCAAATGGGTGACAAGAGAGGGATCACGTAAGGATTACCTGTTGTGTTCCCTCCCTCTGGGGCATTTGGTATTGGCCACTGTCAGCAGACAGGATACTGAGCTAGATGGACTGTTGGTTTTACCCAGAATGACCGTTCCTATGACATACCTTCATTTAACAGTGGGACTTAACTGACAACTGCAGGAAGGAAACAAAGACTCTGCCTCTTGTCTTTCCTCATGTCTACAGATGGAAAGGCAGCTGCCACTCCCTGCAGCCCTGAGGGTAAGTTAGGGTATGTCTACACTACCCTCCTAATTCGAACTAGGATTGTAATGTAGGCATACCGCAATTGCAAATGAAGCCCGGGATTTGAATTTCCCGGGCTTCATTTGCATAAGCGGGGCTCCGCCATTTTTAAATCCCCGCTCGTTCGAACCCTGTGCCGCGCGGCTACACGCAACATGAACTAGGTAGTTCGAACTAGGCTTCCTAGTTCGAACTACCTAGTTCGTGCCGCATGTAGTCGCGCGGCACAGGGTTCGAACGAGCGGGGATTTAAAAATGGCGGAGCCCCGCTTATGCAAATGAAGCCCGGGAAATTCAAATCCCGGGCTTCATTTGCAATTGCGGTATGCCTACATTACAATCCTAGTTCGAATTAGGAGGGTAGTGTAGACATACCCTTAGGAGGGTCTATTTCGCAGCTTTCCTACCCCAAATGGGAATGGGGACAGAAGAGTTAGTTTTTGTTTGTTAAGGAGAATTGCTGTTTTTCTGAATTCCTAAAGGCACCTTGCAGAGTTAGTAGCATCTGCTACAAAGGCAACCTTGCTTCCTTTCCATTCTCTGGTATGGGAGGGGTTTTGCTGCAAGGGGTGGGATTTGCTCTGAAGCTCTGGAAAAATGTTGGGAACAGGCAAACCTCCATATTAGCATGCTGATACGTGCAGTCAGCAAGCATCAAGAAGCATATACAAGGCTACTCTATTTACAGAATACCAACAAATTAAACAAGTATTTAAATTAGAGAAATTCCTTTTGAAAACAGACTTCAGTGTTATCCTTCTAAGGTGATAGTTATTTTAAAAAATACTACTTTTGTTTCTAATGACCAAAATATATATCTTTACAGACAACTCTCATCATTTGCAGAGGATGCTCTCTTGGCACCACCATGAATGGCAAAATCTACAAATACTAGGGTCTGCAGGGACCCCACTGCAGGTGCTGAGAGCTATAGGGAACTCACCACAGGAGCTAGCCCCTGCTGTGCCCCTCCCTGCTTGGGCAGGGGAAACCCACGAAAACGTGGAACCATGAATAGCGAGTACACAAATCACAAGGGTTTCTTGTATCTTAAGTCCTATTGCTTTAGCTATAAAACTCAGCAAAAAGTCTTATAAAACTTATTTGTTATAATTAATTTTAACTATGGACATCTGCTTTTCACAATCTCAGATACCTTTTTACTATGTATTCGGCATGACTCTGAGGAAATATGAGCTTCAAATGCCAGTAGAACCTTTGCTCCCTAAAAAAAGAAAAGAAAAAGAAATAAAAACACAATCTAATATCCTAGAGATATTATTTGCATCATTGTAGGGCCTATAAACCTCAACCAAGTGAAGTTGGGGGACTGTAAATAGTAAGCGACAGTCCCTAGCCCAAAGAGGTTACCCATTTACATACACAGGCTGGAGAAAAGTAGCATTTATTATTCCCATGTTAACGTATGGGAAACTGGGGCACAAAGAGATTAAGCAATCTACTGGAAGGTTAGAAAGGAAAGCTGTGGCAGATCCAGAAACTGAAGCCAGATGTCCTGAGTCCTTGTTCAATTCATTAATCAGAAACAGTGTCCCATCTAATTTTTTATGTTCCTATTTAGCAGTGGTCCCCAACCTGTGGAGGTTGCCGGGTGCCAGGGGGCGTGGCCGTTTGCCCGCCGGGTGCCAGGGGGCGGGGACGGGCCCCCCCCATAGCCGCGCGCCCGGGGCTGGCGCCCCCCGCCCGGGACGCACACGAGTGCCCCCGCGGGCGCCATGGCGCCCTCGGGCACCGTGTTGGAGACCACGGCTATATAGAATGATTTTTTTATGTGCACCTATGTGGCGGTGATGTGTGACACATCACCTCTATATTGTTACATGTAACAAAATTCATTCTGCACATAGACAGTCTTTGGTGGGTTTCAAAGTGCGGGAGGGGGACTCAGGGTTGGGAAGGATGAGACATTTGAAGTGGAGAAGGCTCCAGCCTGAGGCCAAGGAATCTGGAGTATGGAACTGGGCTCAGGGCAGGAGGTTGGGGTGGGGGTGGGGGTACAGAGTCTGAGTTAGAGATGTGAACGACTAGTTGACTATCCGATAAACGCTTATCAGATAGTTGACAGGCTAGTTGACTAATCGCTCCCCCCCTCCACTGCCTCTATCAGAAAGAGGCAGCGACGGGGAGGGAGAAAAGGGGGTACCCAGGCTGCATGCAATGTTTCAAGGCGACAGCACTGTGTGGAGCGTGGGATCAGCTGGGGATTTCCCCGCTGACCCCGGACTCCTTGAGGTACTGCCGCTTGGAAACGCCATGTAGAACCTGATGCTGGGTTCCCCACGGCGTTGCGGTGGGGGGAGGAGATGTGGAGCCTGGGACATGTGGAGCCTGGGACATGTGGCACCATGTGGAGCCTGGGGACAGATCCCAGGCTCCATGCAGCGCTGCCGCTTTGAAATGCTACATGCAGCCGGGAGCAGCTAACTCTGGGCTCCATGCTGTGCTGCTGCTTTGAAACTCTGTGTGCAGCCTGGGATCCCCAGCTGGCCTTGGCCTGCACGCCATGTTTCAAAGTGACAGTGTGCATGGAGTCTGGAGTCAGCTTGAGTCCCCCTCTGGCTCTGGGCTCCCCGCAGCGCTATCACCTTCGAAGGCAGAAGCCCCTTTATCAACTAATTGAATAGTCGATGCAAATTGCATCAACTATTTGATTAGTCAAATCAAAATTTTACATCCCTAGTCTGGGCAGGAGTTAGGCTGCAGGAGTTGGCTCAGGGTTTGTGTGTGGGTCTAGGAGAGAGATGAGGATGGTGGAGTAGGTTCAGGGCTGGAGTGTGGCATCTGGAAGGGAATTAGAGTGTGAGAAGGAGGCTCAGTGCTGGGGCCACGGGTTGGGGCATGGGGCATGTGGCACTTACCTGGGGTAGCTCCCATTTGGTGTGGGGATGCAATAGGTGACTCGGTGTAGCCCTTGCTGCCCCATGCTCACCTATAAGCATTGCCTATTTCCCAGCCAATGGGAGCAGCAGGAGTAGAGTTTCCAGGTAGGGACAGGACTTCCCTTAGCCTGGGGCTGCAGCCAGTGGACAGACACACTTCTCCAGCCCCAGCAGAGAACTGCCATGGTTGGGGAAAAGGAACCTGCCGCAGGTCCATGCACAGCAGTTCTGAGGGGTAGGGCTCACTAAGGCAGCTGAGTGGCAGAGCAGCTTAGAGCAGTGTTTCTTAAACTTTTTAAGACCGAGGAACACCAAACAATTTTTTTCATGAGGGACACCAAGGATGTTTTGTTTGGGGGGGACGGGACGGGGGGGACCCACCACAGGGGAAAGTTATTGAGGGGAAAAAAAAGGGTCGGTGGAAGTTACTGAGGAAAAAAAGGTTGTTGCGGAACCGTATAAGAAACACTGGCTTATAGGGAACCTTGTTCAGAAGCCCCTTTCCTTCTTCTCTTGCCAATGCAGTTAATTATAGAGCAACTTTTATTAGTCATTTGGAAGCAGAAATTACCTTCTACAACACAGTTCAAAGTGGTTCCAAACTAAAGACATTCTTTAAGGACCCTTCCTGCAAGAGTCCTGAGTCAGGCTTTGGGATACCTGGGCTCTACACTTGACTGTGTCATTAGGCTGCTAGGAGACATGGGGCAAGTCTCTTCACCTCTATTCACCACAGCTACCCCATCTGTAAGATGGGGAGACAAACACTAACCATCTTTGCAAAGTCCTCAGAGAACTACTGATGAAGAGCACTATGAAAGAGCCAGGTATTATGATGCAGCTGCTCTTTCTAGTTTAGAATTTCACACACATAATATATAGTTAAAGGGAGTATAAACTGAAGCAGCATTTACAATGTTCCACAGGTCTGACAATTCCCTTTTTCTGCTGTGAAAAGCACAGGACTCCGAGTAATACCTCCAAACCCATCAGCATTGAGTTTTCAAAGATTCACAAAATTATGATTAAAAATAGTGTGCTGCTGTTGTAAGCAAGTTAATTTATACAAGAGACAGATGAAACACTCTCCAGTTGGGTCCAGCTGGCTACAGAGGCATGTGTACGTGCATTTAGTAGCAAAACAGCAAACAAGCTGGTTGCTAAGTACAATTAACTATGTTATTACTCTTAGATGAGAGATTCACAAAAGAGCTTTCTCTGAAACAAACAATTTTTCTTAACCTAGTTATTTCTAAGGGAAAGTTACAGTACATATACAATATTTCAGATTACTTTCTTAGCACAGAAAGAGTGCTGGATTCTTTTCTAAGAGGAGGGAAAACAAGGTCCTTAGTTATGTAAATGATAGAATCTAAACAGGTAATGTATAGATCAATGTTAGGATACAACAAGAATCACACGATTGGTGGAGTTGTACACATTGTTTTGTAAATTCACTATTTCTATCCTCTTTCTCTGATCCACTTGTTACATTTTGTTAAAGGGAAGGATTAATATTTAGAGGCTTCTTTAAATACCAGTGTTTTAAGGAAAGATTGCATCACAGAAGATCAGCTCAGGGAGAGGAAAGAGGATACAAAGATAAGACTTGGAAGTGGAGGACAGAAAAATGATGATTAGTAGGATTGCCAACTTCTAATCACACAGACCCTAATGCCCTTATCCCTCCCTATTCCTGAGGCCTGCCTCTTTTGTTCCATCCCCCCTCCCTCTGATGCTCAGCCTAACTCACCTTCACGAAGCTGGGGTAGGAGCTGTGGGAGGAGATGCTGGGAAGAAGTTTGGGTGCTAGAGGAGGCTCAGGACTCAGGTAGGGGATATTGTGTGGGAGGGGTGCAGGGTCCAGCCAGGTAGCGCTTATCTGATGCAGCTCCCAGTTGACAACACAGCAGGGCTCAGACAGGTTCTCTTCCTGCCCTGGCTCAGCAACATAGCTGGAAGCAAATGGCATGTTCCTGTAGCACCTAAGGATGGGGGAGGGGAAGTGGGCGCAGGTGGCTCCACACGCTGTCCTCACCTCCACGTGTCACCTCTAACTCCTACTGGCTGCAGTTCCTGGCCAATAGGAGCTGCGGAGTTGTAACCTGCAGTGGGAGCAGCATTCAGAGACCTCCTTCCCTCCCACCAAGGGCATTCAGGCTGCTCCCAGCTGCCACACAGAGCTAGGGCAGGAAGGAACCTGCCATAGCCCTTCTGTGCTGCTGGGCTTTCAGTGGACTAAAATTACCCAGTTTGGCTTCAGTAGCCTCTGGAAGATGGAGTCCAATTCCCAGAGACTCCCAGTGAAACTGGCAACTCTAGCACTGGCAACCTGTGATTTCTGTAATCAGAAAGTATGTGTCCTTTCTCCACATTTTAAGACATGCTGTTCAGTGTAATGGTATAGTATTTCCAAATTTGAACATTAATTTTAAAATAACTATAAAAGCAGATTCATGTTTTGAGTGTTAGAATCTTTCATAAGGCAGTAGTACTTAAAATGTAGCACTTAGAACACAAACATAAGATTGATGAATGTAGCCCAGTAGCAGGTATGTTACATAGTGTGTAATTCAATAGTTGTGTAACTGCCTGAAATTTTAGCAGTTACACAATTATTTTGACAGTTCCAGGAGGTGGGGCCAGCAGCCAGTGCGCTCCGGCCCCATTCTCGGGGAGCCCCCCTGCCATCTATCAAAGGCAGCAGCGCAGGGTGGCAGGTGGGAGCCGGTATGTGAAGGGAGCCAGTTTAAAAATGAGCTTCCTGCACAGACCAGCTCCTGTCTGCTGCCTTGCGCTGCTGCCTCTGTATCAGAGACAGCAGTACAGGGTGGCAGCTGCCCGTCATGCGGATTGCCGGAGCAGCCTCTGTCTGCAGCAAGCCTGGGTTGATGCAGACAGAGGCTGCTTCGCAGCAGCCTCCCTTAACTCCTCCCTGAACTGTTGCTTCTGACAGAGGCAGCAGTGCACGGGGTGGAGGAGCAAGTGAGGAGGTACCATGGAACTGGTGCTGGGGGGGAAACCAGCTTTTAAGCCTGCTCCCCCAAGCACTGACTCCTGCCTCCCACTGCCTCTGTAGGAGGCAGCAGGGGGTGAAAGAGGTAGGTGGGTCCGTGGAGCCAGCATGCACAGGGAGCTTGCTTGTCAGCCAGCTCCCCACAGGCACCGGCTCCTGCTCCCCCTCCCTTTGCTTCCTCTATAGCAGAGTCAGCAAGTGGAGGGGAGTGTGTGTATGTGAGTAGTCAACAGATTAAACGATAAGCCCAGCCTTATCAGTTAGTCATGTAGTTGTCTATGCATTGATATCTCTACCCAGTAGCCCGTC